CACATTTTTTAAAAAAAATATATATATATAGAATACTTTGGCTGGCTAATTTTTTCCATATATTTTAAAAATAAAATCTAAAAATGGCATCATCATATTTCATCTTTCTTAATGAACTTACGAAATGTTTTATTTAAAGAAATATAATTATTGAAAGAAACTATATATATATAATTGCTGGCTCATTAGCATTTAATAAAACCTATTAAATTATACCTATGTGGCAATATGTTTTTCCCTCAAAAAACCGTTACTTTTTATTTATTTAACCTCTCATTTAATTATTAGATAATCAACACACTAATCACTTCAAAATTACAAAATCATTTTAAATTTTTGATTTACTTACAACTGACCATATAATGTATTGACTATTTAACGTGATTAGATGTTATTGTTGTGGTTATATTCAAATTAACTTCTTTTGAAAAATAAAAAAACGTATTTGAAATTTCTAAATAAATAATAAATAATTCACAAAAAAAAAAGATACATATCAGAATATATATTACATCCAATATGATAAACACAATTTAAAAAAATAAATATTTCAGCTACTTTAATTGTAAATTTGGCAAAAAAAAATCATTAACAATTTAATGCATACAAATAACTCATATTATTTTATTTATATATTAGTGCAAATGCACAGGTCGAATACTAGTAATAACACATTGGAAGATTAAATTTCTACTAACTAGTGTTCAATGTGTGCACATGCAAATATACAAATAAAGTATTATAAGTCATGTGGATGAATACTATATTTAAAATCATAAATTATACAATAATAATATGACATCTTATAAGTTTGATCATTAATAGTTTGTTTATATATTAATCGCTATATAGATTGCAACATATATATATATATATATATATATATATATATATATATATATAGAAGTGCGCTCAAATGAGAATGAATCACAATGAAAGAAATAAGAATGAATCTGAATCATTGGATATATCATATCAATGGTTAAGATAAAGTCAAAATTTAGTCAATTAGTAATGGCATTATAGTAAATAAATATAAACATCCGCCAAATGTATACATATGACAATTAAGTAAGGACATTATGGTCATTAAACATTAATTCAACGTCCCACCCACCCAACTACCCACTTGCAGCGGGGCCCACCACACCAAATGGTCATTTAATTCCTTCTGTTCAATAAGCA